GAAATTGGCAAAAGAAAAAATGAATGCATGTTTCCACCCACTACTGTTATGTCAATATTTGGAGTTGGTTGAAGATAAACAGCTGATTTTTAACTTGAAGCTGCTTCATACAGTGTTTTTAAAGTTCCTCTCCGGACTTTTTTGCAGTGAAAATGCTCACCATCAGGTGGACAGGTGAAAGAGCAGAGAGCATCAAGATGGTGAGAGGAGGAAGCATCAGAGAGACTCAGCCTCATGTTTGAGCCTCAGTCAGACCCAGACTCAGATCAGGAGTCTGAGACCAGAACCAGAGACTAGCGGACGGATCAGAACAGTTAGCGTAGTTAGCATCTTTTATTTGTTCACGTTGTTTGTTAGCTTGTAACTGGCTGACACAGTGTTAGTGGTCGTGTTAATGCTAACTCTCTCTCTCTCTGTACTGACAAGGCTTTCAAGTTTCAATCCCCAAAAGTTGACAGGATTGGTTAAACACTTGTTTTTCTTCAGGTCAGTTTGTTTTAGAGAGGTGGAGAGGCTCCTGGTAAAAACCTCCACATCAATTATAAAACAGCAATTGAGTTGTTTAACAATAAAGACAAACTCCTGGAAGTGACGAGTGACGTTTACGTCACATGAATCATGCACATCAGCATTTATTCACTATGTCTCTTTCACTTTGGACAAGGATGAATAAAACTTCTGTCTTTTGACTTTTATTGTCCATGTGTGACTGAGATCCTTGACTTACGCACTTGATGACAACTGAGCAAACTCCATGAACAGGTTAAGATTATTTGCCGAGCTTCTTATTTCTTGTTTGGGATTGACATTTCTGTTTCTGAGCACTTTCAGGCCATATTTTACTGTTTGTTTCTGTGCTGAGACTTCTGACCTGCGGCCGCAACTGTTGGTTGTGTTTGAAGTTATGTTTGAAGCCATTACACGTGATAAATTGCTGGAAACAAAATACAAAAAACGTAAAGTGTCCACAGTCACTGTGGTGTCCTGGGACTCTTGTGGAGCTGGGACATGATCATTTTTATTTGTCTTGGACAAATAAAAGCTTCTTTGAAGACTTTACATGAATAAACACCTTGAATATTTCATTCTCTGGCTCACAGCAATATAAAGAACAGACCTAAACTTTTTTTAGTGAGAAGATGTGTTATTTTGTCCCTATGTGTAAATCCTTCTTCAGACGCCCAAACATTTCCCTGTGTGCACTGAGCGCAGGATCAAAGGCTGTCTGTGGGCTCCGTGGGCTTTATGGGCCCCTTGTATGTATGTATGTGTGTGTTTGTGTGTGTGTGTGTGTGTGTGTGTGTGTTTGTGTGTGTGTGTGCGTGCGTGCTTTTTAAGTATGTACATGTGTGCACGTAAGTGTGTGTCGAGGTGTAGGGAATTACAGTGTAACAGTGCTGCTCATGCTGTGTTTGTGGTGCAGCCGAGAGGGAAGCGGCTGAGAGTTGTTCCAATATTAAGAGGGAAAGTTGGGTCACACAGTCTTGAGGGTCCAACCCCGTCTCCTGAGATGATGTTTCCATACAACTAACCTGCAAATACGTCAATACTGAACAGATCAGTAAAGTGTCCACAGACAACGTGTTTGTTTTCCACCAAAACATCTGATCTTACAGAACAACATCACTTGTAGTGAGACTTCAGACACAACCTGTTTCTTTACATTTAACCAACACCACCGTCTTTTCCTAAACAACTTCATCATGAAAAGAATATCCTGCGCACTCCTCTTCCTCAGCATCACAAATTATTGATCAATGTTTCGGTCTCTCTAGACCTTTGTGAGAAAGATAGTAGCAACATACTTCTGACAAAGGTCTAGAGAGACCGAAACGTTAGGATGATAAATAAATTGTGATGCTGAGCCGGACCAGCGTGCAGGATATTCTTCTTTTCAAGGCTGAAGTGACACTTTCGGAAGCACCTGCACCTTAGACATTTGGATGTGCCTAAACTTAAGTGTTTTTGTTGGCTAAACCACAGACGGGATTCTGGATGTGAACCTGATCTCTGGTCTGACAGTCCTGAGCACCACCTCCTTGAGACTCTGCTATCATTAATAAATGTAGCTGCATTCTTTCAAAAATGACGTATTTGCCTTTCAATTTAGTTGCACAGAAGTATAAGTTCTAGGAGAGAGGGTTACCGTAACAACTAGTGATACGTCATGATGATGATATTATTCTGCTTTGATGATGAACTTTTGGCTGAAACATTAGATGAGTTAAGTAACTTTTGGGGGAAAAAAGGAAGGTTTTTTTAGTGATGCCAAAGAAAACCAACACAGAGTCAGGTATCTCAACTCCTATTGGATGGAACAATATCAAATCTGACACATACATTCATGTAGCCTTGTAAACTGGCTGACACAGTGTTAGTGGTCGTGTTAATGCTAACTCTCTCTCTCTCTGTACTGACAAGGCTTTCAAGTTTCAATCCCCAAAAGTTGACAGGATTGGTTAAACACTTGTTTTTCTTCATGTCAGTTTGTTTTTAGAGAGGTGGAGAGGCTCCTGGTAAAAAACCTCCACATCAATTATAAAACAGCAAATTGAAGTTGTTTTAACAATAAAGACAAACTCCTGGAAGTTGACGAGTGACGTTTACGTCACATGAATCATGCACATCAGCATTTATTCACTATGTCTTCTTTCACTTTGGACAAGGATGAATAAAACTTCTGTCTTTTGACTTTTATTGTCCATGTGTGACTGAGATCTTCTTGGACTTACGCACTTGATGACAACTGAGCAAACTCCCATGAACAGGTTAAGATTATTTGCCGAGCTTCTTATTTTTGTTTGGGATTGACATTTCTGTTTCTGCGCACTTTCAGGCCATTATTTTTACTGTTTGTTTCTGTGCTGAGACTTCTGACCTGCGGCGCAACTGTTGGTTGTGTTTGAAGTTATGTTTTGAAGCCATTACACGTGTATAAATTGCTGGAAAACAAAATACAAAAAAACGTAAAGTGTCCACAGTCACTGTGGTGTCCTGGGACTCTTGTGGAGCTGGGACATGATCATTTTATTTGTCTTGGACAAATAAAAGCTTCTTTGAAAGACTTTACATGAATAAAACACCTTGAATATTTCATTCTCTGGCTCACAGCAATATAAAGAACAGACATAAACTTTTTTTAGTGAGAAGATGTGTTATTTTGTCCCTATGTGTAAAATCCTTCTTCAGACGCCCAAACATTTCCTGTGTGCACTTGAGCGGCAGGATCAAAGGCTGTCTGTGGGCTCCGTGGGCTTTTGGGCCCCTTGTATGTATGTATGTATGTATGTTGTGTGTGTGTGTGTGTGTGTGTGTGTGTGTGTATGTGTGTGTGTGTGTGTGTGTGTGGTGTGTGTGTGTTGTGTGTGTGTGTGTGTGTGTGTTGTGTGTGTGTGTGCGTGCGTGCTTTTTAAGTATGTACATGTGTGCACGTAAGTGTGTGTCGAGGTGAGGGAATTACAGTGTAACAGTGCTGCTCATGCTGTGGTTGTTGTGCAGCGAGAGGGAAGCGGCTGAGAGTTGTTCCAATATTAAGAGGGAGAGTTGGGTCACACAGTCTTGAGGGTCCAACCCCGTCTCCTGAGATGATGTTTCCATACAACTAACCTGCAAATACGTCAATACTGAACAGATCAGTAAAGTGTCCACAGACATCGTGTTTGTTTTCCACCAAAACATCTGATCTTACAGAACAACATCACTTGTAGTGAGACTTCAGACACAACCTGTTTCTTTACATTTTAACCAACACCACCGTCTTTTCCTAAACAACTTCATCATGAAAAGAATATCCTGCGCACTCCCTCTTCCTCAGCATCACAAATTATTGATCAATGTTTTCGGTCTCTCTAGACCTTTGTGAGAAAGATAGTAGCAACATACTTCTGACAAAGGTCTAGAGAGACCGAAACGTTAGGATGATAAATAAATTTGTGATGCTGAGCGCCGGACCAGCGTGCAGGATATTCTTCTTTTCAAGGCTGAAGTGACACTTTCGGAAGCACCTGCACCTTAGACATTTGGATGTGCCTAAACTTAAGTGTTTTTGTTGGCTAAACCACAGACGGGATTCTGGATGTGAACCTGATCTCTGGTCTGACAGTCCTGAGCACCACCTCCTTGAGACTCTGCTATCATTAATAAATGTAGCTGCATTTCTTTCAAAAATGACGTATTTGCCTTTCAATTTAGTTGCACAGAAGTATAAGTTCTAGGAGAGAGGGTTTACCT